TAAATAACACGAATTTATAGCAAAACCTCTTAAGTTTCTTTTCTGTTTTCGATTTGAGCTAACTCCAACAGGAAGTCAAGTTTTTTAAGTTGTTAAAATTGAAAGGAAGAGTCACACAATAAATACACTTGTGCATTTTTTCACCTTCACCTTAGACCAATTCAGAGCTATAAGCCATGTGATTGAAGATTAAATTATGGTGTCTCTAGTTTTTGGTTCTCTTTTGTTTACGTATTTATTTTTCACAAATTATAAATCCGGGAGCAATAGAACGAATAACAAGGGGTGGGAAAATAATCGAGGTCGTTGTCCTTGAGTTATCGTTAACCAGGAAAGAAGAGTCGATTATGGTTCCAATAACAAAACCGTCCAATCAAAAGCACAAGGAGAAAAAATAGTAGAATTAGAGATTTATGTGTCCCTTTCTAGACAATAATCATCTTTATCTTCGTAAAGAAATTGATTAAAATAACTCCGAATAATTTTATTAAGCCTTCCACAACCAATTGAATCATTGGAAAAGTGAGTAGATAGCATAGTGTAAAGGGTCTTATATGTCTATTATGCTCCTGAATTCTAACTTTTTTTGTCTTTTTATTTCTTAAATGTATTCTAGTCCTCATTCCAAAAGGAATATTTCTCTGAAAGCAGCGGTATAATAGCAGCCGAAACTTAGGATAAAACTTGTTAGTTTTTAATATCTAATAATAATAGCGAAGAATGTATTAGAAGTTAATTAATAATTTTACTAAGGTGATTTTTATGCCTTTTATCAAGACAACAAAGTTAGTCATTATATTTTTCTACTCTGTATTTTACTGAGATTTCTGATTTAATGAAATATTCAAAATAAGTAGGTGCTATTCGATCTTGAGATTTTTCAGCTAATTCACTATAACATCTGCTTACAACTAATAACAAATGCTGATTTATATGAGATGTAAACATAACCTATATGTGCATGCACTCTTACTGGTTCCTTTTATGTATTTGATCGTTATTGTTTCCTTCTTGGCTGAACAAACAAATCTCCCCTTGAGTATCACGTTAAATTCGTTAAGGCAGCTCTGAGATACAAAATTCGAAGTTCTTACCCGCGTAATTTTCATTGGGTGAGCGGTTTGGCGACTAGCATGAAGAATCTGCAAACTTTCATATACTGTGCTGTCTACTAACTACTCAACTTTCTTTATACTGTTTACTTACTCTTCAACTTTCTGTAGACTATACTGTCCTCTCACTACTTAATTTTCTTTACACTATATTATTTACTCACTATACTGTCTACTCACTATTCAAACTTTCTTTATACTATGCTGTCTACTAACTACTCAACTTTCTTTATACTCTTTACTCACTTTTCAACTTTCTACAGATTATACTGTCTACTTTAACTTTCTTTACACTATATTATCTACTCATTATTCAACTGTCTTTAGATTATACTGTTTACTCACTATTTAACTTTTTCCAGACATTCTGTTATTAAACGTGTTTTCCCCATTATTTGAATCATGAAAAGAACATACAATTTTAGCTCACATATGCAGGCTCGCAGACAATTTTGAGCCCCAGGACAGAACAATCAATGTCACCCTAGAACTGGACTGTTGACTGTTATGACACTTTTTTATTCTATTAATAACAACTGGAAACAGATAATTATTTTTGTTGTTGTAAGTCTTAATTTAGAGAAAAGAATGAATCAGTTCGAGCTCCTGGTCTGTTGCCCTCTTTACTCCTCCTTTCCTGTCGGTGGGCCTGTGCGTATGTTCTGGCAGTGTCTACTTTTATATGTTTATAATGATTGGATAAGATGGTTAAATACTGTTGAAAAAAAATTATCAACGTCTTTAGTGGTGATATAAACTTCATTTATTTTAACTAAATAACTCAAAACTTTACAAGGATGACTGACGAATAAATTGTTAAGCAATTCGTTTGTTTGTTTTTAAGCAAAACGCTACACAATAGGCTATCCGTGTTGTGCCCACTACAGGTATCGAAAGCCGGTTTTTAGCGTTATAAGCCTTCAGACTTACCACTGAGCCACTGGTGGCTTAACCAATCCGATCTTTTTCTATGAATATTTTTGCACTGAAGAAGAGTCTTTGTTTTGTTCCGTGCCAGTTTTGCAAATTCACAAGGAATAACTTATTAGTTTAATAACAGCCTCGCCAGCTCGCCTTTATTACTATTGAACATATTTTTTGAGATTAATTTCACAGGTAAGAAACAGATAATATAAAGATATTTTCGTGCAGGTGTTCTGCCTGAAGTTATGACATTCTTGTATTTGTAAACCACATGTCAAAAGGTTGTAAACATGAAATTTTTCTTCTACTTACATACGCCCCCCCCCTCCCCCACTGGCATAGCGGCATGTCTGCGGACTTACAACGCTAGAAACTGGATTTTGTTACCCGTGGTGGACAGAGCAATGATAGTTCATTGAGTAGCTTGGTCCATCTCTCTTTGAATTTTTGTCTAAATTTGGTCGGTAAATGAGACTTTTTTCCTCTTTTTTGCGCTGACGTAAAAGTCTCTCTCCAATCCCAGCAACCAATTTGAACTTACACTTTGAATAAGTCAACCAATAAGTTAAGAGCTTAAACACAATAACTGTGAAAGAAAAAGGTTTAATTTGTTCTTCTATGTTTGTTTTTCTCCTTTGCTGCCCCCAATAGCTCAGCGGTAATTCTGCGGACTTATAACGCCAAAAATCGGGTTTCGATACCAGTAGTAGGCACGGCAGAGATAGCACATTGTGTAGCATTGCGATTAACTACAAACAATAAACTAAATTCTCCATTGTTCTCCGAGTTAAATTATTCTCTGTGGGAGTGGTTCTCAAACGTTTCAGGCTCGCGTACCGCTTTTTGTTAAATTTTTTTAAAATTACAAACCCAGGCCTAATTTTTCAAAAAAAGATATAAAACCCAGTAACAAAAATTCATATTTTTAACACTTACCTATTAATGCGAAGGATGCGATTGTTTTTCTGACATGATTAAAGAATATGTGGTACCATTTTTGTCAATGTTAAGGGAAGAAAATACTGGCGAGTCTATTCAAGTAGAGGGTGAGTCTATAAGTGAGGAGAGTAGTGTGTGGAAAGCTCAGATAGGGCTTATTACAAATTTTATGAATTTTTATATTAATTGTGTCGTGTACCACCGACATTAGCTCCACGCACCACCAGTTTTTTCTGTTAAAAGAAAATACATTTTCAAATTTATTTTGACGTGATACTATTGTGGTGGTTTTTTTAGAGTAAAAGTGTAATGTATTACTGTAGATAGTCCAATTTTGTTTATCATAAGAAAAACGAACACAAGTGCGACCCATAATTTGTTTAAATATTTTTGCGTCCAGTAGATGGCAGCATGAACGTCTAAAAATAGATTGGAATATAAACAGAATGGGTAAGTTGGTAAACATGGTGTGTGAATAATGTAAAAGGGATTTTATGTAAACAAATCAGAATTACCCACCATTTCATATTTTTCACTAACGAACAATATATTTGTAAAATTAAAATTCTCATAATCTTTAGAGAAAAGAAATGGACTATTGATTATTAGATTAATAATATTTTTATTGGTGTTTCGCCCCCACCTCCCAGTGATTCAGCGGTAAGTTTGCAGGCTTAAAATGCTAAAAATCGGGTTTCGATACTCGTGGTGGGCAGAGCACAGATAGCTCACTGTGTAGCTTCGCGCTTAACAACAACCAAACCAATAATAGTTTTTCTTCCATGGTCGTCTTCTCCATCTTGAGGGAATAAAAGGAAATTTGTTGCCTTCCAACTTACAAAGGCATACCCGAATCCCGATAGTTTATTTGTTTGTTTAAGAGCAAAGCCACATTGGGCTATCTACTGTGTCTACCACGGAGAATCGAACCTCGAACTTTAGCTTTGTGTTGCATAAACGTTCCACTGTCTCACCGGGAAACATCTCGATGGTAAGATACTTAACTGAACTTTTGCCTTTCAGTGAATCAACGGCAAGTCTCGAGGCTTATAACACTAAAAATCGGGTTTCGATACTCGCAGTGAGCAGAGCTAAAAATTTCATTTTGTAGCTTTGTACTTAACAATTAACATAATTGAACTTTCATAGGTCTTGATATAGGAATTATGTAATATGTTTTCACACTTATATTTTTTATTAAATAATTATATTTATACCCAATTTTAAGTCTAAATCATAAACATAAGATTTAGAACATACAAAGCTATTAGAAATACGAAAGTAAACCTAAACATTCTTTTGGTGCGTTTTGAGATGTTTTAAAGTACCCTGACTTGGAGGTTCTAAAAAAAAACAACAAGCTGAAATATATGAATATTTTTATACACTAACGTCTAAATAAGTTAGATTCAACCCGTTTAGAATCCCACTTTAACTGTCAACATTTTTTATCACGCACGTGTTCTTGTTGATAAGAGGAGACAGGGTAAACACTAAATTCTGATTTAATTATCTTTATAATTTTTTCTTCTTATCTAGATGCACAGAAAAAAAAAGTTTCTGGTATTATCCCCCCCCCCTCCCTTGTAACAAGGTTAAACTCTGGAGAAATTTTTATCTCCGTAAAATAGGGTTATTTTTAAGCGCACAAAATTTTAAAACAGCGTTGCTGCTGTCACATCGGGTGTTATCAATTGTCACACATTGATAGTGATGGTGTGTGTAAGAATACACCACCCGCGAAAACAACAACAAACAGAAACACGAACACACACATATAATACATTAACGAAAGTATTTTTCTCTCAATTGTAGAAGAAGCATGAAGTAACTTCACCTTATCTTTCGTACATCTATATAACAGTATACAAGAAAGTCACTAAAAATTAGTTTTGAGAAAATATTTCTTATATCACGTCAAATAAGTTAAAGTAACAAATTACCATTTCTTTATTATATTAAACTATAAAAATTTCGCGCGAAGCTACACGAGGGCTATCTGCGCTAGCCGTTCCTAATTTAGCAGTGTAAGACTAGAGGGAAGGCAGCTAG